TTCCAAACTACCGAACGGCCCCTCGTTCGGTAGATAGAAAATACCGAACGAGGGGAATCAGGCGAACCCTCCCTAGCCTCTATAGCTAGAGGTTTTCATGTATTTTATTCCCTTATGCCAGGACCGACCGCAGGGCCCATTCACATGGAACCGGATTCGGCTATCTCTGTTCGTGCGGTCGGTCATTCTATTCCCTCCATACTTTTCCCGAACCCCTGGTCTGATCTGGGTGATTTTTGGATATGTTGGTCACCCAGATCAGGGCTATCAGGGGATGTATGATTTAAAGAGGTACCCCTACGTTTAGGGGTACATCCAGAAACGGGGGGAATTGGTGTGCTGGATAAGGGGATTATGATGCTGGCTGAGGGGAGGAGATGGTGTGGGAGGTTACCAGGACAGGATTGGCTACTGTAATAATTACTGTAAATCCCTCCCTTGCATGGGAGCATGCTTTATAAGGAGACTGTGATTAAAGGCTTGTCAGTTCTGCTCCTGAAACTGTGTGTCGTCCAGTTATTGGGATTGCTCTTGGGATATTGCTGTATTTTACCTGCTGGAAACCTTGCCTTTGGATTTATTATTTACTTGTTCCTGAGCCTCACTTGGATTATAAGCGGAGATAACCTGGGGAATATTGCATCTCCGCTACACTGTGTTATACTATATCTGTTTCTTTCCTGTCTCAAAGGTGGCTATATAGTTTCCCTTGAACTGGAGAGAGGAATTACAAAGTAACTTTCTACACCATACCTCCTACAATTTTGGAATATATCCTTATTATTACCACTAACTATTGGAACTCTCACTATTTTGTATTTTTACATGATCAGCTTTTTTCTCATAATCTTTTCAAGGGGAAGATCTATGCGCTGATACTATTTATTTTATATACCCATTATTTTCTACTAATTCTTCTTTTTGACACTTTTAACATTGTTGACCACTCACTTCTTCAACTCACCTTTTAAAACCTTGGACTTGGTGACTCAGTTATTTTCTGGTTCTCTTGCTATCTCTGTGTTTTTCTTCAGTTTGATCTTCTCTGATTATTCCTACCCTTTTGGACCTCTCAAAGTTTGAGCTCCTCAGCTTTTCAGTCTGCCAAGCCGTGGGTTACAATAATAATTTTTCAGTACTGATACCTGATCTTTTCTCAATTCACACTGCCTCTCTTGGTGACTTAATACCATTCTATGGCCTTCAAAATTACCTGTACGCTGATGATACCCAAAGCTACCTCTCTTACCTGATCTTCCTCCCTGTCTGCCTGATTGTGTCACCGACTCCCTGTCTTTAATTTCTGACTAGAGGAATTTGTGATTCCCAAAACTCAGCATATCCAACTCGTTGCCTTTACTTCCTCTAAATTTTGTCTGTGCATGCTCATTAAGGTCAATGGCAATGACCTTTCCTTCACCCGTTGTCCATGCTCTTGTTTTGTTTTTGCCTTATTTATTGTAATCCTCTGCTTGGCAGACTGAAAAATATTTTAGATTGCCCCTCTAAAGTCCATACTGAATGCCTTTGCCAGGCTCACCTGTCTTACCTCACCCCTCACTCAGTCTCTAGACTGGCTTCCTGTTTCATTCAGGATTCTTCTTAGTTGATGTGCTTACTTACAAAGCTCTCAATAAGAGCACCCTCGCTTACATACCATACTTTATTAGCATATATGCTCCAGTTCAGCCTCTTTGCTCACCAAAAGACCTGTTACTGCACGATACTTCCACCCACACCCCATACTTTTTCCTGCAATACTTCTCCAGGGTTGACTCCTCCTATGGAAGTTCTGACTTTACGGAGAGTTCCCCTCTCCGTAAATATTACTTTACTTTAGAGTCACCTTACGTACTCACTAAATCTTAGGCAGCCAGCAGGTAATACGTTGCCCAACACCTAGACACTGGTAGAGAGCTGAGCAAGGGGGTGCCAATTGTAGGGAAACATGATGGAAAACTTTATATCGTTTGGTATATTTTTGCCGACTTAAGTTCTTGAGCCTAATGCTCATGTGCCTGTCTATTTTCTATTGGAATATATATGTATATATATATATATCTCAAGACAAAGATTTACGCATGTGTTTCTTTTAAAAGGCCTGTTAGATTTTCTAGTCTGATTTGCGGTATTAGAAAGTAGTGTAAATGTACAGCGCATGTATAATACATTTCTAGAGTTAAACCTTTAAACTAGCAATGATGTGAGATATGCCAGGCAGGCCCTATGTTTATCAGAGGGAAAATGGCTATCCACCATTACTACTTTACCAACAACAAAATCTCATGTGTGTTATTAATCAATTTGGAGACTTGGAGACAGCCCGTAAAAGTAGCAACAGCATTGGAATATTTTGGTAAGTTCTTCCCATAAGGAATAATGGGAACGCTTTGTGAAATTTTAGTGGTCATTTCCTGAAACTCTTGTTACTATTCGTAAAATTGGCAGAGGTTAAAAAATCACTACTTGCTAAAAGAAGAAATATACACTTTAGCAAGCAGTTGCCGGCAGGTAAAACGTATGGAGATAGGCCAGAAGACATAAGGTTTTGTGTATAAGTTACTTCTATGTTTACATTAAATGTTAACTCTTTCATGCTTTTATTCTTATTCTGTTTTTGTACCCTGGAGCCTAGACTTTATATTTGGATTAATCTTGTTAGCACATTTCTTCTTTCTTGTTTTTCATTTACATGTAAGCGGTTAATAGTTGAGTTCAGAGTAAAATTAGATTTCTGTGTTCTTTCTTATTTATACACAATGAAACTTGAGTTCCTGGGTCATCCTGAACTTTGTCTTTGTGAGAGCACAGTTAGCAATACAAAAGTATATTTGATCAGGAGTTTGACACCATGCTTAGCTGTTAAGGGTGTTTTTGTTTTTTGTTTTTTTGTGAAAGGATATGTTATCTATATGAAAGAATATGTTGTCCATTTACAAGCACATATGCTTAATTTTGTTTTCAGCATTTAAAAGAAAAGATGTGACTAGGCTACTTGGCATCCAGGGCGGAAATGTATGTTGGCACCCTTCCCCCAGAACTGTACATTTTTGTGTGCTACTCTGCACCCATCAATCTCCCTTTTTTTTAGAGAAATTAGAAACATATACTCACATCCCTATACATTCACACTAATCACTCTTTCACACAGACCACTCTTTAAAATTGTCCCAGGCATCCAGTGAAGAGTTGCAGGGATCTGTACTAATTGCACAGCTTCCTGCAGCTCTTTACTGATGTCAGGGCTGAGGTGATATCACCTTCCAGCTCACAGCAGCAGTACAGAGTACGTGAGGAATCTGTGCAGGCATTGCAGAGAATGACCACAACAGCTTTTTCACCATCAGCCCTTCATCAGGTACATGATCTAGTTTGTATTCCTGTCACTATAGTGTTTCTTTAAGGTACATCACATGTCTAGCATTGTACAGTTAATGGGTCTCTTAATTAGATATAGAATTTATGGAAAAAGTGACATTTTAAGCCTTGCAAATTACAATGTCATTAATATTTATCTAATAGTGATTCTATAGAGTGCTTCTGCTCTGGTCTGAGGGGAACCTGTATTTCTGGCATAGTGTTTGAGATCCACAAATAAATAGCAATTTGGCGTAACTTTGCAGCAACACCAAAATAAATATATACATATATCAGGGTGACCATATATTCATGTTAACAGATTTTTAGATTTGTAGATTAGAGAGAGAGAGAGAGAGACCATCAAGACCTTTAATATAATCCTTAAAAAAAATTATAAATACACTTCCTGGTGTCACCTCTGTCGTATAATAATGGTAACAATAAGAATCAACTGGTAAAATAATGTGTATGTAAGCAGGGCCGGACTGGCCACCGGAATTAGGGATCGACCGATTATCGGTTTTACCGATATAATCGGCCGATATTCGGTATTCTCGGCAATATCGGTATCGGCCAATTCAGATACCGATATTGCCGATAATACCTCCTAGGACCGCCAGGCTCATTACAAGCCCGGTGGTCCTGGGGGAGCGGGCAGCAAGCGCTTACTCACCTCCCAGCAGCTCCTCCAGCTCCCCAGTGCAACTCTCGCGAGACCCGAGAGTTACACTGGGGAGCTGGAGGAGCTGCTGGGAGGTGAGTAAGCGCTTGATGCCCGCTCCCCCCCAGAGCTCAGCCAATACCACTGGACCACCAGGGACTGTCATATCCCCCCTCCCTGGCCAGGTAACAAGCAGGGAGGGGGGATAACAAAACTAAATAATAAAGTAAATATATATATTTTTTTTAATAATTTAATAAAAAATGCCCCCTCACACACTGCATTATATACACATACACTACACAAACACACTGTGTATATAATGCAGTGTGTGTTTGTATAGTGTGTGTGTGTGTGTTTGTATACAATGCACACAAATACACTGCATTATATACACATACACTACACAAACACACTGTGTATATAATGCAGTGTGTGTGTTTGTATAGTGTGTGTGTGTGTTTGTATACAATGCACACAAATACACTGCATTATATACACATACACTACACAAACACACTGTGTATATAATGCAGTGTGTGTTTGTATAGTGTGTGTGTTTGTATACAATGCACACAAATACACTGCATTATATACACACACTATACAAACACACTGCATTATATACACACACTATACAAACACACTGTATATAATGCAGTGTGTGTTTGTATAGTGTGTGTGTTTGTATACAATGCACACAAATACACTGCATTATATACACACACTATACAAACACACACACTGCATTATATACACAGTGTGTTTGTATAGTGTGTGGATATAATGCAGTGTGTGTTTGTATAATGTGTATATAATGCAGTGTATTTGTGTGCATTGTATACAAACACACACACTTTACAAACACACACACTGTATAGTGTGTGTATATAATGCAGTGTGTGTTTGTATAGTGTGTGTATATAATGCAAACACACACTGCATTATATACACACACACACACACAGTGTGTTTGCATAGTGTGTATATAATGCAGTGTGTTTGCGTAGTGTGTTTATATAATTTATATAATGCACACTACACAAACACACTGCATTATATACACACACACACACACTGCATTATATACACACACACACACAGTGTGTTTGCATAGTGTGTGTATATAATGCAGTGTGTTTGCGTAGTGTGTTTATATAATGCACACTACACAAACACACTGCATTATATACACACTATACAAACACACACTACATTCACTATACAGACACTACACAAATACACACACTCTGCATTCATTATATACACACACTTTGCATTTAGTATATACAGCATTCACTTTACGCACACTACCCACACACTACACAAACACTCTGCTTTCATTATATACACACTACACTAATACACACTGCATCCACTACACAAACACACATTGCATCCTCCACACACACTACACAAACACACAATGCATCCACAACACACACTACACAAACACACACTGCATCCTCTACACACACTACACAAACACACACAGCTCCCCTGTCACACTGCATCCACTACACGTGGCATGTATATTTTGTGCATTTACCTTTAGAAATAGTTTTTATTTTCCAAAATGGTAAATGTACAGAATATCGGCAAATTATATCGGCTATCGGCCTGAAAGTTCACAGAATATCGGTATCGGTATCGGTATCGGATCTAAAAAATCAATATCGGTCGATCCCTACACAACACCCAGACCACTTTAATGAGCTGAAGTGGTGTGAGTGCCTACAGTGTCCCTTTAAAAATATTTTCTTCCTGGAGACTGCAAATGTCCGTGGGGTAGACCAGCGATTAGAAATACCTGCATCAAGTAACTTCTTTGTAATGGGTTGCATGGATTTCCTCCGTAATGTAGAGCGGGGTAAGTCCTGGAATAACGTCACACAGTGCGTTTTGAAGTAGAGAGATGCTTTCATTAGCGGTTTGTCTGTACAGGACAGACATCTTGAAATAAGGTCCCTTGAGGTAGCTGTAGGTGCCAGGAAGGAC